CCTTTTTATGTACCAAAAAAAAAAACTTAATAAGAGATCCTTTAAAAAGTTAATAAAGATACTATTGTCCACAACACCTCAAATAAACATAAACATAAGGACAAAGTGTTAAGATATTCTCCCCCTTTATAAGTTGTTTTAAACTTATCGGATCTATCACCATCCACAAAGTTCATTAATAAAAACTAAATCAATTTTTCAATGCTGACACTTTAATGTATCATTTATGGCTTTAATGTTTGTACATTGGATGTAGATAAATTATCTACATTCGCTTCCAAAACGATATCGTTTTGGGTTGTAAAATAAAAATATTATAATAAAAAAGACTATTATAACCTTGAAATAAATTATAATTACAAAAACACATTTATTTCAGCCTCAAAATAACGTCGTTTTGGGTTCAATGTAAATAAGTTATCTACCTTGACTGTAGAAAAAGCGAACCCATCATTTATATTAAGGATAGGCGAAAAAAAAAAGATAGAAAATATTATTGGGTTTACGGTTTCTTCTATTACATGAGATAAAATTATCTATAGTAATCCTAAAACTACATAATTTTGAGAGTTGGGAAATTAATGAATGATGTTTTGATAAAATTTATATAACAAAGAAACAAACAAAATTTCTAAAATATATTTCATTAATTCGCTCAACTCTCAAAAGTCAAAACGATATAGTTTTTGAGTTGTAAGGGATAATTTTATTTCCCGCGGCAGGAAAAATACCTTTTCCAATATTATTATGTAATAAAAAATAAATGAAGTGGAGAATAAAATAGAATATTAAAATATTTTAATTTTCACTCATTATTACGTAGTAAAAAAGTAAAAAAATCACGTGCCTACATTATTATACATATTACTCTATGATAATTTTCACTTTATTTTGTTATAAAATAAAGTGAAAAATCACATTCATCTTACAAAAGCCATCAATATTCGTGGGATGGATTGTAAATGAGTTGCACTACTTCTTTTTTTCTCCTTTGGTCACTGTGTTAATCATTCTACATTTTTATTTTACTAAATATTGTGAAAGTAACTTTCATAACATAACATAAATAGAATCATTCAAATAGCTCATTCAGGAACCTATCCTTTTTGTCTTTACTATTTTTTAAACAAGTAGCATTAATTGTACCAAGGAACACAATACAGAAACAACATAGTTTTATATAACTGTTTTGGATTAAAGGATTGGGCCATAAACTTGGCTCATAAGTCCATCCCTCACTAATAACAAAAGGTCAATATTAGCAAAATATTTCACTTTTACGTGTGGGGACTAGTGATCTATCACCTATTAGTGCTATCAAAACAGGCTTAAGCCCGTGGGCCAGTCCCTGAAACCCCATAATATGTCGGGCCCATACTTAGTGGGGCTGTTTTAGCCTTAACTCACAAACTTATTTTATTTCTTGGGTTGAAATGGGGCTAATTACGGACCAACCCATTATTAAAAGTCTTTCAATTAACACTGTCAATCAATATCTCGTGCTTCTTATCACTTTGATGTTTTTGTATTCGGAAGGAACCTAACCACAACTCAACAAAGGCATGGTATAATATAACATGATCAAACTCCTGTTGTTTCTTTTGGTTTGATAAAGAAAAAAAAAAAAATCTGATTGCATTTTTAGACCATCTTAATACAAAAACAACAAAGAGATGAGAAGCACGAAACACTATTGACAGTGTTAATTGAAAAACTTGTAATGATGGGTTGATCTGCTTGCCTCACTCCAACTCAAGAAATGAACAAAGTTTGTAGGTTAAAGCTAAAACAGCCCCACTAAATATGGGCCCAAAAAATTATTGGGCATATCAGAGGCTATCCCATGGGCTTGAGGACTGTTCCATGGGCTTGAGCCCATTTTGACAGCATTAACTCATGTAATAAATACAATTATTATGTATTTACTTGTCCGGGTAGTAGTATTGATATTTAGTTAGCCTTTAGTAACGGATAGCAGATTTAGTTAATGGGAAAATTGTTTATCCTTTTAAATGACACAATTTATATCTTTTCACTTTCACAAAGAGGTGGGACCCACATCTTTATTTTTTTTTGTCAACTCTCTCTCCTCCTTTATCTATCTTTTTCCCTCTCTTAAAATGACACAACTTTACATCTTTTAAAATGACACACATTTTTCCCTTGGTTCAAATTGCTTAACAAGTTTTTATGTTTGACGCATTTATCAAAATAAATAAAATGTATTTCACTAATAATACTAAAATAATAAGAGTTTAATATATGGGTATTTACTCCATAATTAGAGCTAAGGAGATATTTGGTAGAGGAGAAAAAAAAATATCCAGGAATCATGATTTTCGGGAATATGATGGGAAGTGAACTTTTCAGGAATATTACCAAAAAAATTATTTGGTAGGCCAAATATTCCTGAGAATGTTGGATTAATTTTTCTGATATTATGTTTGGTTATTTTTTTCTAAAAAATTAATTCATATTTTCCCATCGTTTTGGATTCCTAAAATACCACCATCTGGATGATATTTTTCAGTGATATTTTGATTTAGAAAATATTCACAAAACGGAATCTCGGAAAAAATTTCTCCAGTGCGCTACCAAATATGGGATTTTAGGAAACTCACCTTTTTGTCGTAGGCATCTAAAAATAATCCTTCTACCAAACACCACTTAATACTTTGCCACAGTTTTTTTTGGCAAAGAACACAACATACTAAAAAAATTGAGATATAAATAATCCTCATCTAACAACCTGATCATAACAGCAAATACAATCACCATATTCTATCATATAATTCATGGGTTTATTTTTTCTGATATTATTTTAGATAATTTTATCTAATGTTCATCAAAACGACGTCGTTTTGGGACGGAAATCATGGTATTTTTGTAATTTTTATTTATTTCAGGGTTATAATAGTCTTTATCACTCTAATTTTTTAATTTTTCAACCCCAAAACGACGTCGTTTCGATGAACATTAGATAAAGTTATCTAAAGTAACATCGGAAACTTTTTTCCCATAATTCATTTATGAAACCTTTGCATAGAATTTAGCATGGTCCAAAGAGCAGGGATTTATCTATTAACTCCATACGAAATACTATTTTTTTTATTTCGTGAAACAATGAAAATCTTTACTTCTACAATTTCATAAGTCCAATAATCCAAATATAGTAAATTCAATGATATTTACAATTGGAAACACAAATTTTAACTAATGAAAAGGTAATAATGAAGATTATACCAATCCAGAAAATGAAAAAGAATGAAATTTCGATTTCCGCAAGGGTTCTTAGAAAAAAAAATACTCTTTAAGAGACTTGGACCATTTGTTAGGAGAACATTTTCTTTCATGCCAAAGTCTGTGCAATAGTTAATAACAGTATATTACATGACTAAATGTTTTTCTTTTCATATACAATAGCGGCAATAAAGTTCGAATTTATAACCTCGTTCAAATTACCCAAACCCCTTATATTATATCAATCCTATTAGCTTACAACTAAATGTTTTCTGTTATTAAGTTACTACATTTTTCAACAATAAAGATCACCTATTAGTACCTATAACGTTGAGAGCTGCAAGTTTAATATATTTCCTTGAGGGAGATACAAGTCTATATAGGGGTATCGTTGCTAACAGAGGTAGAGACCAAGCTATTCAACGACATTCCAACTATGGGGTCCAACTATATAAGTAGTGGGTGTGTGTGTTGAGCTGAGACAGTGGCGGACGTAGGTGAGTGCAAGTGTAAACACAAATTTTTTGAAAAAAAATAAAATAAAATATATTTTGGGTCATTAACAAAAATTATAAGATCTAATTTAATCTCTTAAAAAAAGTTGACTCGTGATCTTTTTAAATTCTAAAATAAACCCATGTTAGTCCTTTTGAGAGATTAATATGACTCTTTTTGAATTTCAAAAGATCATGGTTTTGATTATCTGGATCAATTTGTTGATGACCCAAAATGTTGTATTGTAATATTTTAGTTGACTCTTGATTTTTTTTATATTAAATTAAAGTTTTCTTTTCTTATATATATTCTTTTGTATTTTAATATATTTAAAATTTTCTTTATTTTTTTTTCTTTATTCTTTTATTGTAAATGTACAGACATTAAAAAAATTTAGATCCGCTATTGAGCTGAGACAAGGGCTTGAGAAACTGGCAGGGCAACGATATAAGATGGGGATCCCTTGCCTGGTGATGGAGGAATTATTTAGAGGAGAGGATGCCTTGCTCGCATGAAAGGGCAAGCCAGGTCAACTCTCTTTGAGAAGTGCCATGCACGCCTGGCTGGCATTGATATTATTTAGAGGAGAGGATGCCTTGCTCGCATGAAAGGGCAAGCCAGGTCAACTCTCTTTGAGAAGTGCCATGCACGCCTGGCTGGCATTGATATTGCAACAACAGTGTGGTTCCTGCTATGCTGCTGTAGCTAAGGAGAGGAAGCACTTATTTAGGAGGTCTAAGAGAACTACTCAAGGGAGGTAGCATCCCAATTTAAGACATTTTAGTATCTTAGTTAGTCACTGGGCTAAGGTGGATGAAATAAGGGGACTTGAGTCTGTCTTAAACAGGCCAGCTGGTTAAAGCTATCCAGAACAATAACAAAAAAGCTACAATTATTAGAGTAAATACTTATGTTCTAAATCATATTATTCCATATCTACAGAACCCGTTGTTACTATCAGTCAAATAGATTCAATTATGCTAATATGACAATAGTTGTAACAAACTACCGTTGTCCGATTTTAGCCTTCAGGAATAAATGTTACATATTTTTTTTAGATGCAAGTTTAAATGTTATATTTAGTTCAGATTGTTCAACTAAAAACAAAATTGTTGTTATCAAAAAACAAAAAAAAATTGTAAAACAATTTTCTAACAAGCTTTTGTATTTGACACATTTACCAATTTCAAATTATTTGACAACATGAAACACTTGATGCCATCCAAAAACAAATTGTTGACCGATTGTCACATAACAAGCATGCAACTCGTAGTTTTTGATGTCCATCAGTTGCTAAATGTTAACCATCGCAGTACAATGTTAATGTTGCATTAAAAGATAGTGAAAAACAAGGGCAAACCATACATGAAAGGACGACAATGACTACAACACTATGGTATTGAACGACGACATACTGCCAGCAGAGAGAAGAAAATTGGCAGCCAACAAAACCAAAGAACCTCCACCTTTGGAAATAAAAATTGTTCAGGAACAATCTCATCATACGCACTGTAACATTATAAATGTCACAAAAACCTCTTATTTTGAAGTCTATCCTATATTATGCCTCTACAATCAAACATTGGTTGAAACCCAACCATAATAAAGCACAGAATACAAAGGTATGGGCTATATCATCATGTATATGCTCAAGCATCATCAAGAGCAAGAACACCAGGGAGTTGCTTCCCCTCAAGAAGCTCTAAGCTGGCACCACCACCAGTTGAGATGTGGCTCATCTTTTCTGCAAGTCCAACCTTCTCCACAGCAGCAACTGAGTCACCTCCTCCAATGATCGTTGTTACTCCCTTCCCACTTAGCTCAGCCAGTTTCTTGGCTATAGCCTGTACACAAAAGAGAACACTCATTACTTGCTAGTGCTAAAATAAATCAAACTATAAAAAGTTGAAGTACCAATGTAGCATAATTTTAAAGCTCCAAAGAATTTTTTATCAGTACATGCAATGTTCCCCAAAGCAAACCGGTCAATGAATGAATACCTGAGAAAATTTTAAGGTTCAATGGGGTTTGAACCAGAGTAAAACCAAGGAAAATTTTATACAAATATAAAGAAATAAATAAATATTAAGTACATAAATAAAACCAAGGAAAAATATTAAAAATGTTTCTTAACAAGACACTCTTAATGCATTACAACTAGGGGTGTAAATAAGCTAGGCTAGACTTTGGCTTAAATAGGTTAGGCTTGTTTGAAAAGCTCAAGTCTAAAAAATTTAAGTCTGGCCTAACCTATTTTTAAAAAATAAAAAACCTTATCCTAGATCTATTAGCCTGTTTAAGGCTTTTAAACATTCTATAATTAAAACAATAACTAAAATAATATTACTTTATTATTCAAAATTATTAAACTAATAATTTTATTTATTTTATTTAAAATAAATAATATGATGTAGGATAGCTTGTAGGCTTATAGGCCCGACATGTACAAAAAAAGCCTATAACTGCTTTCTAAATAGGTTTTTTTAAATGCCTAAACCTGTTATAATTTGACTATTTATTATAGGCTAAGTCTGACCTAATATAAGCTAGGCCGTAAGACACTGTAGGCCGGCCTAACTCATTTACACCTCTAATTATAACCTCCTATTTGTTTTACATGGGATAAACTACAAGAAAAAAAGACTAAGTTTTGATAATAAATTAAGAACCAAATAATAAATGTAATAAAAAAAGATTTGTCTTTTCTGCTATCAATATAAATAAGTTATCTACATTGAACCCAAAACGACGTCATTTTGAGGCGAAAATTAAGATATATTTGTAATTATAATTTATTTCAAGATTACAATAGTCTTTTTCATTACAATTTTTTTATCTTTCAACTCAAAACAACATCGTTTTGGGAGTGAATGTAGATAACTTATCTACATTCCCTGTATAAACATTAAAGCCTAAAAAAAATATTAAATTTCGTTAAAAAAAACAAATTTTACTGGTGTTCTTTTTTTTACCAGTCCAACCAGCCTATATGATCCAGTCGAATTCTGAAAACTATATGAAGGATCTGATGTGTCGGCTAGCGACAATGACAATACATATAAATGGATTGACACTAATTTACAGTGAAGCAATTTAGAAATAACTTTAAGAAATGATGGATGATCTATTAGGTGTACTTATAATAACTTTAAAAACGTTCATACCTCTGTTCCTGCTGCAAACTTATCAAACTCAAAAACACCCATTGGTCCATTCCAAATGATGGTCTGAGTCTTATCCAATGCTTGACTAAATGTTATGATGGAATCGGGTCCAATATCCAATCCCATCCATCCGTCCGGGATGCTTGATGCTGGCACAACCTGAGAACATATAAGCAAAGCTTTAAGTATATCTCAACATTCTAACCACTACTACAAATATATGATCATAAAGTAATGTTAGAACTCATTATAAATTCCACATTGGTGGGAATATGTTAAGGCAAAAGGGTGAGGGCGCTATAAATACAAGCACCCCCCCCCCCCCCCCCCCCCCCCCCCCAAAACCCCTCTTTTCTATGTACACCAAAATCTTCTTTCTCCTATATTTTCTTGAGTGAGTTTTGTGAGAGATTCTGTTAATTCCGGAGAGAGATAAAATTGTTCTCTTCTTGTAAATAAAGGGAGTTTGTAAGTAAAAAAATTTCTACTCTTGCCTCGTAATTTTTTCCCTTGATTTGTTTGAGGGTTTTCCACATTAAATTTCAGGATTCCATTTATTGCTTTCAATTTCCTTTATCGGATTCCATTTCCTAACGAGCTATGAAAAGTCACATTAATATCTTCTTAGCTCAAAAGTGTAAGCGCATTCATAGAATTCCTAATCCCAACTCTTCAAGCTAGTACCTTGCTGTTAGCATCAGCAGCAAACTTGTCAGCTATGACCACATCGGTTGGAAGCAACAGGGAAACACCTTTAGCCTTGGCCTTCTCAAGAAGTGAAGTTGCAAGATCAAGCTTGTCTTCCTCCACAAGAGATGACCCAACTGAATGACCCTGGGCCTTGTAAAAGGTAAAGATCATCCCTCCACCAAGCAAGAGGTAGTCAACTTTCCCCAACAAGGTTTCAATAACTCCAATCTTCGAAGACACCTTTGACCCACCAACAATAGCAGCAAATGGCTTCTTGGGGTTCGACACGGCTCCAACTAGATAGTCAAGCTCCTGAAACAATTGAGCAAGTAACAGATCAATCAATTACATAAATTACCCAACATACAATGGAACTGACAATTGCTTCCTACATACCTTCTGCATAAGGAATCCTGCAACAGAGGGCTTCAAGAATTTGGCCACTCCTTCTGTAGAAGCATGAGCTCTGTGGGCAGTGCCAAATGCATCATTAACATAGAGATCAGCAAGAGAAGCCAGCTTCTTTGCATATTCAGGGTCATTCTTCTCTTCCTCCTTATAGAACCTCACATTCTCTAGAAGCAAAACACCACCTTCTGGAATTTGTGCAACCAATTTTTCAACTTCCTCCCCTATACTGTCATTTGCCATCTTAACCTATAATCAAACCATAATGACATGATGAATAAAAGTAAACCCAGCAAATAAGAAGGGGGTGAGGGAATTCCAAAACAAAATACAACAGTTTAAAAGGCATACCTCAATTCCAAGTAGTTCAGACAGCCTTGGCACAAGTGGCTTCAAACTGTATTTTGGTGTCACACCCTTTGGCCGACCCTGAAAACAACAGCATATTGAAGACAGAAACATCATTTTTCAAGTTACTAACACTCACATCACACTTCTCTGACATTCATGGTCTTTTAACTATTTAACTGATACATCTAAACCTTAAACAAAAAAAAAGACACAACAACAACAACATCATAAAACTATCAGTAAACATTCAGATTGGTATTATTCAATGATCCCATTTAAAAAATGGAATAAAATCACAGTAAAATCAATTTAAATAGAGAGACAGCTCACCACGAAGTGGATCAACATCACCAATCAAACTTTACAACCATAAAAATATTTCCTTGTTTTTTTTAAGGAAAAAAATGATCAGTCAGTGAAAAGACATTGCTTTTCCCAGTTACTATAACAAATCAAACAAACAAACAAACATATAACCAATCTAATGAAAACTCATGATAAATAGACAGATAGATATAAAACAAGACACCCAAATACATAAAACACATGAAATAGATAGATAGATAGATAGCATACCAGATGGCTTGAAAGGATGACCTTGGCACCATAACCGGTCAAGTACTTGATGGTGGGAACACAAGCACGGATTCTAGTGTCATCTGTGATGTTCAAGTTATCATCCAAAGGAACGTTCAGATCAACCCTCACGAACACTCTCTTCCCCTTCAAATCACCCTCCTTCAACGTTCCCACGCTCCTCTTTGTCGCCATTTTTTCACAAATCTAAATCACCTTCAAATCCAAAACAAAACAATACAAAAACAAAAATTAGAAACCAAACAAAGAATCAGAAGAGAACCCAACAAGGGAAGAGCAACAAAGATTCAAGCTTTGACGGCGAAACTCACAATGGGTTATGTGGAAATCTCAGCTTAAGATCAAAGTTTGGACGAGGAAAATGAAAGAACGTTCCAGAAGATTTATAGAGAAAGCTGGCTTAGTGGCACTCGTGTGTACCACATGTGTGAATATTTGTTCCCTGTTTGGGAAATCTCTTATTGGGGTGGCATGGTGGGCGCAGCAGAACTAGAATCTGTGGATTAGAGGTGGAAACTTGAGTTCTAACCAAACATGGCTTTAGCATCGTTAGCCCAACGTTTTTGGGTCCATTGTTTCACTCTTCTTACATTTGCATTCATAGATTTGAATAAATCTTCACTACACACATCCTCTTAATACCAGTGACATTTTTTTTTTTGTATAAAATACCAGTGACATTATATAAGGATGGATATTTTTAGTTGGGTGTAAGAATAATAAATTTTATTTATATTTTAGTTATTGATTTCTATGTATTTGAGGATGATAATTTATTAGAGATAAATAATTAATTATTGTATATAATTTTAATAAACTATAATTATTAGATGTACAGATATCAACAATTGCAATTAGGATGAAGACTTATTATTTTTATACGAAATCGTGAAAAAATTCTTCCTCAATTCATATAATATTAATGTAGTAAAAAGTTTTAAACTTTAATAAATGATGCACTGAATTTTTAATATTATTATAAAAATATTAAAACAATTTTCATAGTTTCACGTTTTTATCCACTGGTTTTCATTATCTCTATTTCTCTCTCTTTATCTATTTTTTTCTGAATATTTTTGTTTGATAAAGGAAAAACTAATCTCCCATTATTAAATGTGAAAAATAAAGACTTTTCTCCGTGGTTTTATTTTTTTTCTATACACATAAATTTTCAAATAAAAAATAAAACTACATTTTTAGGGAACTTCAGCTTCTTCCTCTTGAACCAACATATTTCAGTGCATTGATTTTCTTCTATGTTTGTTAAATTGTTATAATTGATATATTTTTCTTTTTCTTAGCAAACTTTTTTTCACTAAAATGGAAAGCTTGGACTTAATTGATCTTTTATTTTATTTAGATCAATTTTAGGGGATTATGAATTAAATGTATAAGAGTTATTGGATTAGGTTTGATGTGAATGTATATGCAAGATAGTAATGTGACTCAATAAACATTGAAAATAAATTGAATAATATAGAATATGTGTTGTATATCTAGTCTTTTAAGTATCAACACAATTAAACTCTGTATCAAAATATTCATTTAGCAATCATTTGGAAGTAAACCGAAAAAATACCACCGAAGTCTCATATTTTGCAAAAACAGAAGTAGAAACAAAAAGGATTCTTATATTCTAGAACATTTGGTGAATAATGAAGAAAACAAGCGTAAAAATCATGCAAAGTTCATAAAGAGAATTTCATAAATGAAAAGGACAGACGAGGAGGGACAAGGAAGTTTCATAAAGGAATATTCCATTCAGCATCAAACTCTTTCAATTTATTTTATTCTTCTTTTAGTTTAAAATTGCTAAATGTAGATTGTAGAGTGAAGTGATTCGTTCCGTTTACTCGTGCACCGATTGAAAAGTGATTCACCGGTCGACCAATCATATTTTATTTTTTCACCGGTTAATTAATTAATTAATTCGATTACGTGAAATAATTCTTTATTAGTTGGTCCAAGTAGTTTGGTGATGTCAAACTATAATTTATATATAAGGTAAGTTAATTAAAATTAATGTATAGGTTAAGTCATTTATTTATCACAATAACATATTTAGTAAAATAATATTTTAAAATAAGTTATACTTTCAAATTTTGAGAAATTTTTGGTACAATTTTACAACCTGAGTAATAAACATTTGTTATATATTATGGAAGCTACCAGTTAACAATAAGAAACAAGATATATCTTGTAAATTTTAAAGATTTAATACAATCTAAAATAATTTTATATAATATTTTATAAATGTCAAATGTCAAATTTTTAAAATAAATCAAAATATCACATTCACAATGGAGGCCTAGCAAGACATACTGCGAGAATTATTGTAACTCTAAGTAACAAGTTACTCAACTGTTCAGTGAACTAAATAGGAAAAAAAAAGTAGAGCTGAGTCACACGAATTGAGTGAAGACATAATAATTACAATGAATTCGAATGAAAAAAAAAATTAAATATACAAGAATGACTTATTTTTTTCAAAATCGAATTATAAACATGTTATTACAATGAAAATAAATAATACAAATATAATTAATAAAATATATGTAAGAACGAGAAGTTGGGATATTTGTAAAAAAATATAAAGGCCATTATATTTATTTTACACGCATGAGATAAAATACAAAAATGTAACAACGAAACATATCCTTATAGAAAATGTAGGAAAGACGTAAGTTTAATGGGAAATATTAATTTCTTTTTACATAAGGTAACTTATCTCATTTTCTCTCACTCCGACCCCACTTTTTTCTTCTTTTTCTTTTTTTTTTTTTTTGATAACATCTTCTTTTTCTTTTTACTTGTAATGGTGAGACTCACCCATTTTCTCTCTACCACATAAGATAACTATCTTATGTGGAAGGAGATTAATAAAACTCAAGTTTAATACTTAGGTGGCGTTTGGTAGAGGAGATATTTTTTTTTACCAGTCAAAAGAATTTGTCGGGAACATGGTGGGGAAAAGTTATAGCCGGATAAGATAAGAAAAGGTGTTTGGTAGACCAAAATTTATTATTGGATAAGATAAGAAAAGATGTGTTGACTGTGGGCAAATTGTTTTACCATATCTTGAATGGTAAAGTTTCCTATTGACATCATGTGTAAAATTGTTACCGATCAAAAAAATTTTGCCAACCACTTTTTTACTTTACTCCTATCAAATATAGTTAAATTATTTTCCTCACCCTACTTTTCTGGATAATTTTTTTTTTCTCCTACCAAACATTCCCTTAGAGTCTCTACCAAATAGTGGTAGCTTAGTTAGTAGTAAGGAAGTTGAGTAAGCAGAAAAATAAAAGGCATCGGTTCGATCATCACATGCCACCTTTGGAAGAGGTTTAAATTAAATATCTTTATCTCTATCCACTAACACGACACTTTTTTAGCGTGCTTTGTCCTTACTCACATTTTCTGATAAAAGTTCTTAGGAGGTCACCCATTTTATAATTGCTCCAAGTTAAGCACATTTAACTATGAAATTCTTTCGTTACGGGCTATCGAAAAGTATATGAATCTTGTTAGTATAGGTAGTACCTATTAATTCTTATAAGCTATTCCCAATTGTATAGTCTCATACTTGCACAGTCTCTGTGTTGGAAATCGACAATCACACACAAATAGCAAAATGAAAAGAGAAAGAGAGAATTGACACAGTGATTTATCCTGATTCACCCAATTTATGCTACTTCTAGCTTGTCTGTACTACATTCATCACACCGCCACTCATTACAAGTCACTCGATTTACAATGAGAATATAAATAGGATTAGAAAACCCTAATAACAGCTATTCATGAGTCCAAATCCAAACTACTAAAAAAATTACAATAAATCAGAAGCCACGGTCAATAATCGCAAATTGTACTCGGGTATGATCTACGGATAGGGGTGGTAAACGAACCAGGGGTGTTTTAGGGGCCTTTGCCTCGGCCAATGAAAGCCTGAGCTTACATGTCCAAAATTGGTTGTTAGTACAAGGCTTAAACTTGTATAAAAGCTCGTTTAGTAAAAAGGCCTCAGACTCTAATTCAAAAACTCTAAGGGTAGAGCCTCTTAAGCTGGCCTAGCATATTAATTTTTATTTTTATTTTATATTTTTTATACTACTTGTAATAGCTTCTCTCTCTCTCCTCAATCCATTTCATCCCATTTTATTGGTTAAACAGATTTTTTGAATAATTTTATTCTATGTTATACTGTTTGGATATACATTGAATTTATAAATATTTATGGAATTACTAGTGCTGTTGATTGTATATTCTGTTTAGATAAATTTTTGTTATATTATTTTTTTTAAACAGACTAAACCAAGCTTTTATTTTTTGTAAATAAACCAAGCCACAGACCGATAATTATATTAATAACAGGTAACAAACTTGGTCAGGTTGACATATTTAAACATAGATTTAGCGTTTTGAAATCAAAACTCAGCTCGGCTTGGCCCGTTAACACCCCATCTACGGGCTTAATAATAAATCATATTTGTAGTATTTGTATCGAGAAAAACTTTTGCATTAGAAAATCATAAAGGATGTTACCAAAATAAAATAAAATCATAAAGGCACAAACTAAAATTTTTTAGTAGATTAAGAAATAGGAGTAGAGTAGTACACATTATATAAAGTTTTTTATTTTTTGTTTAAAAATGAAAAACATAATAAATTAATTGATATATCATGCATGTTTGACATTGCATTGTTTATTCATAACATTAATTTTGCTTTGACCCAATTTAATACAGAACCCAGCTTGCAGGATTTAGAATCCGGAATCAGAATTCCAATTCCCTACACTCAAAAAGGATGGTAGGCGTGCAATTCTGACGTAGAAATGGAAGTCCTCACAGCAGGCGAAGAGAAGAAAATTGAACTACAGCTTGGACGGCCTGAACATGATGCAAAGAAGCCACAATAATGACATAAAATTAAAGTTTCCATATAGTTAAAGAAGATGATGCAATGTATATGTATGCCACGAATTAAAATAAATAAGGAACAATGTACCCAAAAAATTTGAATTACTTACCCTATAAAGAATGGAAAATACTTATGTCATGTAACATGATAGAAAACCAATTTCCTACACTAACAAACTTTGGTGGGGTCTATTGTGAAAAAAAACAAAAAAATGTTAGCACAATAATCGATGGATCAATAGAAATCACTTTTTCTATCATGTTACATGATAGATGTATTCCCCGTAAAGAATAAGCATAAGAATAGTTAATGTCTACATGTACCAAATCCTACAAAATGCCATTAGATGCTATTGGATGATGTGTACAGCGAAAAATATGCTTCTCTTTTGTAGTTTCAAAAGACATCTTAATTAATGTGGTAGGCTCAGACTATGGAAAAGGATAGGATGCTTCTCAGTTTTGTGGCTTAGGAACATTGACGGTAAACAAGACACACAATAGTTTTTAAGATTATGCTGCTCAGGTTTTCGAGAGTCCATGGGATCCACTTCTTTTTCAATCATTCAATGCCTTCCTCTCCACAAACGAGATTTGTCATCTCAAGCCTAAGACTTCACAATCAACCAACTACTTGTGGTAGAGAGTACTTGCTAAAAAGTCTAGATTAACAGGAATTCACTTGGCGTCCATCTTTATAAACAAATTGTACGATCCTACTTCAAGGTATGAGACTTGAAGTCCTACATCGAAAACATAAGATTCTGGTGTGAGATTTATACGTACTTTGGACTCTTCTACCTCATAGACTATCTTTTGGGATGAGGCTCTCCCAAGATTCATATCAATTGATATCAGAGCCTTCCACTATGTTTCTTGATTGCAATTGAGCAAGGCCGTTGCCAATGACGCTGCCATTGCAGTGTTCGTCCAAGTCTAGAAAAAAAGACTAGGCCAAAGCCAGCCCACCTAGGTGCCGGGGCTGCGAAGCATGGTGAAATGTTACTATGTAATTTGGGCTCTCCTACTTCATAAGCTAGCTTTTAGGACAAGGGTCAGATGCAAGCTAAAAAAGGCAAATTCTGGTGCACAAGGCTCCCCGGCTTGCGAGGATTATACACAGTCTTACTCTTGCATTATTACAAAGAGATTGTTTTCTAGACTCGAACCTTTCTGACATAAGATGAAAGCTAAATACAAAAATAGTAATGGCAGCACTTAATGGATTTATTATTTGAATTTATGGCTCTCAGCCTGGGTTTACAGTTACACGCAATTTATCTGTGAAGCAAATTAACTCAAGCATAATAAAATTTACACTAACAGACTCGGAAGGTTCCTACAACATATGCTCTTTTACAAGGTTGTGAGAACAATGACACCGATGATGGGAAAAATTTCCAAGCTGAAAATTGTCTTACACAGCAACTGGCGTGGCTTCATCAAGAGCAAGGACGCCAGGAAGCTCTTTGCCTTCCAATAACTCCAAACTGGCACCACCACCAGTAGATATGTGGCTCATGACACTTGCAACTCCTACTTTCTCCACCGCAGCGACAGAATCTCCTCCTCCAATGATTGTTGTCACCCCCTTTCCACTGAGGACAGCCAGCTTCTTCGCAATAGCCTGAAAGAATGGTACAAAATGAAAATTATGTACATATTTATTAGCCATACAGAAGAATATGTTATCTAAAGATGACATTAGAATCATCCCTAATACAATACATTACTTAATCTGTTAAATGAATGAACAAGCATATATTTTACAAGATGTACAAGTCACATTAGGAAGACTAACTCCTACGGCATATTTCTGAGTATGCAATATGCATATCACTTTAGAGTGGTCATATTTTTATTGACTGCAAACATGCTTAAGCATGTAATATAAACCGAAGTCCGTATGAAGGGTTCTTGCATACCTCTGTCCCAACAGCAAACTTTTCAAACTCAAACACTCCCATTGGTCCATTCCATATGATGGTTTTGGTAGTATCCAAAGCATCATTGAATGTTTTAACAGAATCTGGACCAACATCCAATCCCATCCAGCCATCAGGAATAGCAGATGATGGCACAACCTGAAAGGGTTAATGTAGAATTTAAGTTTTGGCTGCAAATGTTTCAGAATGAATAAACACGAATATTAATTTTCATTGCTAATGGTACAAATGTTTGTCTGCTGCATCATTAATATTTTAAATGGTTCAACTGACCAGGTCTTCTGACCAATATCTTATCTAAAGGAGCTTAGAAAATACAAACCTTGCTGTTTGCATCAGGAGCAAATTTGTCTGCTATCACCACGTCACTTGGTAACAAGAGAGACACCCCCTTTGCCTTGGCTTTTGCAAGTAGTGATGTAGCAAGATCCAACTTATCTTCCTCTACAAGGGATGAACCCACTGAAAGACCTTGTGCCTTGTAAAATGTGAAGATCATTCCTCCACCAAGAAGAAGGATGTCAACTTTTTCTAGAAGTGACTCAATCACTCCAATTTTAGATGAGACCTTGGAACCACCCACAATGGCAGCAAAAGGCCTTTTTGGGTTTGATACTGCCCCAACAAGGTAGTCAAGTTCCTAAAACATGAAAAGATACTCGTGAAAAACTAATTATTATAACATTGATGAAATATATATTTGATATTTAAATAGAAAAAATGAAAAATTGAACATTAACTTCTCCCTGAAGAATGATTCACGTTTGGCATGAAATTTTACTCAACATCAAGTGATCAAACTTATTAGAAGAAGAATCACAAAAATGTGATAGTTACGAAGTTCAGGAACTTTATTCAGATAGTTTGCAGAAAGTTGGCTTAGCTGTTGATAATGATTTAGTATAAAAGGAGAGATAAACCCACCTTTTGCAAAAGGAAACCAGCAACAGATGGCTTCAGGAATTTAGTGACCCCTTCTGTTGATGCATGTGCCCTATGAGCAGTACCAAACGCATCATTCACATACAGATCTGCTAGAGAGGCAAGCTTTTTTGCATGCTCAGGATCATTCTGCTCTTCCTCCTTGTAAAACCTCACATTTTCTAGAAGAAGAACACCTCCATCTGGAAGGGAAGCCACCAACTTTTCTACTTCTGGACCAATACTGTCATCAGCCTTGACAACCTGTGAATTGTCCGTATCCAAACAGAAAAAGACAGGAACATTGTAATTATCCACCAAAAATATCAAGAATTATAAATTATTTCCCTTCTCTGTCTTTCAACCTACTCCTCAATCACCAACATCATCAACATATAAACATACCTGGATGCCAATGAGTTCGGAAAGCCGGGGAACAAGAGGTGCTAAGCTGTATTTGGGAGTGACACCCTTTGGCCGTCCCTGGAAATTTCAATAAAAGCCACAATGGTTAACCTTACAAGTTCAAACAACCAGAGTGTTTATTATACCGATCTACTTTGCAATGAAAAATTACATTAATATCAAGAGAGTCTATCACACCTATGTCGCCAAATCTATAACAAAACTGAATTTTTCCAAGTTCCAACCACCCAACCATTTCTTTAGAATACTAATCTCACAATTAAAACGAGAAAATAAATTGTTCCACAGATAGCAGCACCTTTGTTCCTGGCCTATCCTTCAAAGACTAGTTCAAAAGCAGAAATAAAAACTGAAAATGTAATAACTAAAAAACAAAGTCTTTCTCTTTGAAATACAGAATTCACATAAACGCATTTGGAAGCAAAAAACTCAAAACCTCAATTCAAGCACACCAAAAAAAATAAAAAAAATACAAAGAATAAAAAAAAGCCAACATTACAATTATAAAATAGCAAAAGCTGAATCTAACATTATAGACAATGATCAAAGAATCCACCAGACACTCACTAATCTTCGTACTAAGTAGCTTGAAAAAAAAAAGTAACTTTAGCTCCAGACAAGATTTTTTTTAAAATATATTTGAAAAAAAAAAACTCTCTTGGAAGTACAGAATTAACATAAATACATTTGAAAAGTACATATACAATTTGTTCCGAAAAGATAATAAGTTGTGAACTTAATAACAACTTCATCCCCTAAAGAATGAACCAATTAAGTTATCAAATTGTACATTCACTAATTGAAGAGTGAGAATCCAAAAAGAGAGAGAGAAAAAAAAAGGGCCAAACTTTAGAATAACAAGAGATGAAAATGCAAATGTGGGAAAGACCCAAGAATGAAACATACCAAGTGGGTTGAAAGGATGACTTTGGCACCATTTTGGATGAGGTGTTTGATTGTGGGTATGGCTGCACGGATCCTCGTGTCATCGGTGATGTTCTGGTTATCATCGAGAGGAACGTTAAGGTCAGCTCTCACGAACACCCTTTTCCCTTTCAAGTCAGAAGCAGTCAAATCCCCAACGCTCTTCTTCGCCATTGATACCACTCCTCTTGTTCCCTTTCCACTCACTGATCGCACCCGAGATGCCACGTGCACCGCCAGGAGTGGGTCGGCGGCGGCGAACCCCAGCCGCCGGAGTGGGCGCAGGCGGAGGGTGGAGGAGAGCTGGACTCTGGAGGAGGAGGTGGTTGTCGCGGCGGAGGAGTTGGTGGAGGGGAGGAGAGAGAAAGTTGTGGGTGCTGCTGCAGCTGAAGCCATTCTAGAGAGAGAAAGAGAGAGTGTGTGTTTTTTAATTTTGGGACTTAAACGAAAGAAAGAGTGGAAGTTTAGAGGATTATTATAAGCAATGTGATGTGTCGAAATGTATGTGTGTGATGTGTGTCTAAGTGTGTGTGTGTGTGTGTGAGAGAGAGAGAGAGAGGACAATGATGAAAGATGTGGACGTAGAGTTCAAAGGAGTGAACGATTGGGTAAGGGGAAGGGATTTTGGATTTCTCTTATCGTTGAGGAGAGGTTCATGATTTTCCTTGCTTTTCACTCTCATATATTCGACTCTCTTGCTCTTCTTTTTCTCTTTCTTACTTTTTCATAAGATTATTATGTCATGAAAGATAAAAATGGTACGGGTTTAAAATTTGATCTTTGTAAAGTTTTTAAACCATAATATTGTTAAATTTGCAAAATCAATTTGGTTACAAGAACATGTTGTTTTATGATAATGCAAATGATTTTATATTAATAATTTTTTAAATTTGGAGTTGTAATTATAAATGATGGACAAATAAATTTGTTTTGAATTTAAATATAATAGTGAATTAACTATAAAAAAATATAATAGTGAATTTTGTATATTATTATTGAATGATGTATTGATAGATTAAATGAGAATATGTTACTATATTTTTGTTTAACTTGCCTTTTTTTTTTTTCTCTTGTCAATCAATGGCTATCTTTTGAGTTTGTGATGACTCTTGCATAGAGATGACATCATTTTTAAAGAGTGTTTTTTTTTAGGTTTTTTTTTATGAAGCATTATTGAAAACTGAGAATTTATGTTACATAATAAATAGTTTATTTTTTTCAAACTAGTTATAATAGTCAAACTTTTATAACTGATTTAAAAATAGCATAATAATATAAAAAATTATTTCATTTTTTTATTTATATTATTTAAACTCTAGTATCTTTACTTGTCATCCTCTTTATGCCAATAATGGTTGATGTGATATTGGGGATTGACTTGTCAGAATAATTTAATACTCTTAATTTATTCTTTTATTCTTTAACATATCTTGAAATTTATTTTAGCATACCTTTTCATGGGAACGGTAATTTATGACTTAAATATTTCTCTTTATTACTTGATATGTGCACTCACACAATTAGTCTTCATTCTTGGGAACAAATGTGTATCCTTTGATTGAACACAGTGGCGGACTCAGATAATTTTATTTATGTGTGCATATTTAGTCAGAATATTTAGTGGAGGGAGTTTAGGGGTAGTGCATTAGAAAAAAAAAATAAACAAAGTTTTAAATGCATTAAAAAATAAAAGAATATAAACAAAAAGAGATTTATATCTCTTATGTTACATGAACCAAATTTTTTGTCATCTTAATAAAAAGACAAGACCAATTCATTGATTAATGTGACATCTCACTTTCTTTAATATTATATAACTTGTCTTTTCTTTAATGAGACAAAAAATTTCATTCATATAATATGAGGGATATAATCCTCAAACAACAAAAGAAAAAAAAAACTTCGACATAACATAAAAAATAGTAATTAACTTAATGATATAAAATCACTAAAACATTAGCAATAAATAAGATGTGTTTCTTTCTTAGTATATGTGCTTGTATTCCTAGCAATGCAGCCACTAAAATTGTTCCTTGAGTGACATTGCTAATTAATCTTTTTTACTAAAAAAAGTATATGACCAAATTTATGTGTGCACTTGCACACATTGGCAACCAAATAGGTCCGTCAATAACTAAACAAAAAAGAGACCAGAAAGTCATAATCTTGAGAATGAACGTGTTTTCCTTGATAGACTGCAAAAAGACCAATACTCATCCCAGAGCAATCTTTTTAAGTTACAACCCTTAGAGATTCTTTTTCAACGCTCGTAAAATTTTTAATTGTTTAAAATAGGAGCAAGAAAAAAGTTTTACTAGTCACACTTTCAAACTTCCCCATGCTTTACATGGTTCACCTAATTAAGCTTAGTGTGTGTGTCCAAGATTTCTCATGGTTGTTCCTGAAACAAAACTTGGAAATTAATGTTAGTAAAAGAATTAAATCCAAAATAGGTCTGCCTCAACTTTACATTTCAATTATCCCATTTTTATTCTTCGGTTCTTTTTGTAGAAGTCAACTGCCTTTGTCAATGCATATGATTGACCTTCAACAGTGTGCTCTTTAAATGGCTCTTGCTCCTAACTTTGGTAACTTAGGCCTTTGGGCGTAATTAAGGAGCAGAGTAGAAAACCCTTTATTTTTTTTACACAGAAACATCTGAAGGTATATCATCAGAAACGCAGAAGCGCATCGTACCGATGCGATGAGGAATGAAGAACACCGCTTTGATTACCTAAGATGAAGCAGCGAGCGTGACAATTTCTCATGTTCTGTTCTCCTCCTCAAGCCTCACGATCTGCAGCAACGCACCACGAACGGTCGCAATTCCGCTCTACGGTGGATCTTCCAAGCTATGACTCAAGGGGATCAGGTGGTTGTAACACCCCGTATATATCCGGTAGTGTTATCATTACATCGTATTAAGCGGTGCTTAATTAAAAATGCGGAATATTCTTTTTCTTTTCAATTATGACGTCATTATCAATTACCAACTTGATTACTTAATCAATTTCATAAAATATCGCCTGAATGTAAATTACAATAAGACATCTACTGAAATATTTCAATATATAATAAAGTGAGTATCTAAGTCACGACATTACATCACGTAATCCGGACAATATCCTAATACATTAATACAACTCTAGTAAAAGCATGACATAACAAGTCTACGTGGCATGGACAATCCCCATGCTCACCAAATCAACAGCGTCTTAACAAGATGACCATAATCATAGAATGAAGCTCAAAGCATAAAAACAGCATCCATATCCAGCATCCAACATGTCAGCAAATAACATCATCACTAGCTAACTCAGCTCCGGCCTCCTGCCGCCTGAGGTCTCAACATTACCTGACCCTGAAATAAGCATTCCCCAAACGTGGGGTGAGATCTCTAAACCAGAAATCTCAGTAAGACAAGGGGTCCTCAAGGATCTTCCACCCCAAGCTCACTTACATGTGCAATAAGTTCTAAAAGCATTTATATCATTATCAGTTCCAAAACTATGCAGTGCAACAGATATCTATGGCATGTGTGTAATCACAATTCTACTGGCCAAAGAAATGTAGGAATACGTCTATACCTACATGTAGTACAAGGAACACTGCTTGCACCTCACCCACAGCCTCACCATATTGTATGTTCTACATACTCAGGCTTACCGTATAGGTGGAACACCTCTATGCATATCAACAAGGCACTAACATATAACATCTCAACAGCATTTCCAAAACATCAAAAACATGTAACACAGCATGCATATACCATACCCCAATGGGACATGGTGGAACCACAACATGGCTAAACCGAGGACACGAAAGCTTACCTTGCAAGCTCACTATCCAATGCCAAGAGCCCTCACAGCTCAAGTCCAACACACAGCAGATCACAATCTGATTTAGAACCAGCAAGTGTATCAACATACATAACTCGAAAGCATTAACATAAAGACTACGTTCTCCTTTAACGATTTACGTCTTAAGGCTTCCAACAAAGCCACAAGCCCTTAATCACATGATTCTGACTTAGTTTATTAATTACAGAAGTTCAACTTCAACAATCTAGGGTCCACAAACCCCCAATAGCCTACTGTACACACAGCACAGCTACTGTTCTTCGAAATCCCAGAATATCCGGATATTCCTCAAGGACATATCCGGATATGCAATATCCGGATACCTCACTGACCATATCCGGATATACAATATCCGGATATTCAGATTCCCATATCCGAATATCCAATATCCGGATGTCAAAATCCCCATATCCGGATATCCAATATCCGGATATTTCACGGGCAGATATCCAGATATTTCACGACAGAATGCAGAAACTGCATTTCGTGAAGATATCCTTCCAAGGTTGGGTTTTTACCGATTCTAGACATTTAAGCATGCATTTCTAGGTGTGTTAATCGTTACCCAACATTAAGTTATCATCTTTTAACCTTTACATGCATCAAGGTACCATTTTTAAGCATTAAACTCGTGAACAAAGGTTGGTACAACATACCAAGGCTCAAAACTTAGAACAAAGAGGCTCTTGGAGCTCACTAGACACTCCCAAGGTTATGTCTCTCACTGCACACGAAAATGGTGCACAAAGGTTGTTCTTTTACCCAACAAGGAAGCTCCTTGAAGCTTCAAAAGATTAAAAGAAAGCTCTCTTCTTCCCAAAATGTGAACACAGCAAGCTTACCCTCACAATACAGAAGCCTCACTCAGAAAATAATTTCCTTTCCCACTCACAAGAGACTATCACACCCAACCAAGTGTTTCCCCAAGAGAAAGTGTGAAGAAAATCAAGAAAGATCACTTCTTGGCTCAAGAAATGGAGAAGAACCCAAAAGAACAGCCCAAACTGATCAGCCTCCCTAATTCTCACGCTAGAAAATCCGGTATCTAGGGCAATGTGCCCTTAAATGAGTATATATAGCCACTTAAGCTTAAAACACACAGTATTAACTTTAATTGCTACGCTTAGCATTTTAATCTCAAACTTTGGATTCTTAACCTACTCAATTTTACAAGAATTGTCATATTTTTATTATATTTTTTTGAGCACCTTTCCGGTACGCGCTTTTCTTAGCTAGTATCAGTTTCTGGCACCAGTTCTCATTAATTGGACTTGAAACTCGTTTTACAAGTCCTATATAATATTCTAGTAATTATCATGCACTTACATTAATTTTCCGGATACTTTTTCGGTGCACATTTATACCGACTAGCAGAACCGGTATCTGCACTTTTCTTCCGAAAAGCGACTATCAGCATTCTAAATCACTTACTATAATTATTAGAGCCTCATAATAATTATTAGGGTCAATTATGGAATCATTTCCTAATTTTGCATAATTAATTAATTAGAATTCCTTAATTAACGGTGCGGGTTCTTACAGTGGTCGTGTGGGCAACCGTTCAGATGATGAACGTCTGCCTCTTAGGTGTGTTTCTGATGT